ATGTTAGTCCATCACATTTAAGGAAATCTCATCCTAAAGGCTCCTTGTTATTACTGGAAGAAGTAGTACATTTTTGAAGATGGACTAACTATACAAATAGCCTGAGCAGTTAGTTTATTCAAGTTTGTATAGATTCAAATGGTGTGTAGTGGTTCCTCAGTTCTAGTAAGTGTGAGTGTGATTGCGGCTGTCTCTCTGAGGTCTTCAACCCCTATAAACAAGGCACACATCCTGCTGCTCTTCTCAAAGAGGCCTTGGGAAACTAGATGTATGGGGCCCTTTGAATTGGTTTCTCTGAAACTTTGTATTTGCCTTTAAGAAAAAAGCTGCCCAGGGACAAGGGGAGAAAATGAGAACCAAGACCTGTCATGTAAAGGTCAATAATAAATGTAACTGTAAAAAAAAAAAAAGCTGCCATCTTCTACAGTTCTTGAGATTTTCAGGCAAGGATGTGGAAGTGCCCATTGATAAAAGATTTTTAGAAATTTTAAGAAGGTTTGTGAGCTCATGTTTAAATATATAATTTTAATAAACCAAACAATAAATGTTTACTGAACATGTAATAAGTGCATGTGGGGATTACAAAGAGGTGCTCGTTCAGGACTTGCCCTCAATAAATTCTTAACTCTGGAGCAGGTGACTGGGGCCACTGCAGGAGGCTCAGTGAGGCTTAGAGTGCATCCTGTGCTGGAACCAGGCAGGAAAACTGCATGGGAAAGTAGGGAAGGAGACTGCCATGAGAGGCTAGGGAGGAGGAGGCAGACTGTGGTACAGAAGCTCTGTTTGGGGACCTTGTTTGTCATCATAGGCCACAGTCTTCACTACTTTCTCTGGTCTCAAGGATCACTGGCAAGTTGGCCTTTGTGAGGAGCCAACAATAGTGGTTTCTTGTCTGCTTCCCTGGTTCTGTTGATTGGACTTTGAAGCTCTACCTCCCTTGGGGATGGGTGCAAGCTATAAAAGTGCTTTGGCTCCCAACTTCATGACACAGTGACCCAACACACAGGTCTTTTGCCATCTGGCCCCTCCACCTTGGTGTCTTCCTGTAGGATTAGGAAAATGGAAAGTTGACACTAATGGTGATCTTGCTTATGCTGCTGTGCTAAGCAGGAAACTGAAGCTATCTGGACTGCTTATCTCTTTCCTGGCAAAACCTATGGAATGTGGCAAGCCAGCCTTCCAGCAGTAGCTGCTGCTGCTTGGGAACGCACAGGCCAGGGAGGCATGGTAGGAGGTGGCTGGTACCCTGGCAGTCAAACTAATCATGCTGTAGTGAGAGGAAGAAGCAGATAGAAACCATCAGACAAGATGTACCATAGACAGGTATACCTGTTAGGCATTGGAAAAGACATAAATTAGAAATGATTTGTCCTAGCTGGGTGGTAGCACACACTTGTAATCCTAATGGGTCAGGAGGATCGCAAGTTTGAGTCTAGCGTGGGCAGTTTAGCATCTCAGTGAGACCCTGTTTTATAAGGGCTGGGGTTGTAGCTCAGCGTGAAGGCCCTGAGTTCATTACAAAAAGGAAAAAAAAAAAAGGACGTCCCAAGAAAGAATAGACCTACAGCTGATAACTACTGACTAGAATGAAAGATTATCATTTGTAATTTAAATTGTGCTTGGTAACTTTCTTTCCATCTTTCTTTTTATCTCAGTTACCCCCCCCCAGGAGAAACTACTATAACCTAATTAATGAGCAAACACTTAAGCACTACCATATGTACTTTTGCACCTGCCAATGCAAACACATGTAAATGAGATGGGGGTTGATTTTTAAACATGCATAAGTAACTTGTATGAAAGCATAGATGGTGGCCTGTTTAGTCTTATATAGGAATTTGATCTCCAGAAAGGAGAGGCTTATATATGTGGGTCTTTGAGGAAGTTTTCCTCAGTTTGTGTAGGGATGCTTAGTATGTTCTTTGTTTCATATGACATATATCTAATAGTATTAGAGAAGGAATGCTAAGGTAAGATGAAATGCTCTTGTAATTAATTTTTTGGTACTGAGTGCTTCTAGGATCAGCATTAGGAAGTGATTTTCTTTAATATATTACCAGAAATCTCAAGTGCAGTCCATGCTGTGTAGCTGTGGGATCAGAGTGCTGGGTGTGGATGCCAGTTCCGTCGTGGGCAGCTCTGCAGAGGGTGCTTAACCACCCAATGCTTGGTTATAATGGTGTTCATCATGTACAGGAGCTACGAGCATTCAGCGAGATGAACCACACAAAGTGCAGCAAACAGCAGCTGTGCTGTATTATTATGTCAAACTTAATATATCATTGTTTTTGGTAGCAAATAGAGTTACCTGGTACTGTATAAAGAAAACCACCCTTGGAGCATCTTCATTCTTGCTTTTTCCTATCTCTTTCTCTGTTTTTATTTTCCTTTGGGAAAAGATGAAAACAGTGACTTGGGTGGTGATGAGCAGAAAAGGGGATCATGAATATAAGGCTCTGTACAGATTTATAGTGGTTTCTAACATCTAGTTATGTGGGATTCTTGTGCCTTTGTTGGAACTGATTGTTTTAAAATGTTTTCAGTTGCCAGAATTTCCATGATTTATGACAGCTTGACTATTTGGTATTTTGGTTCCAGAAAACAAGTTAGTCTTTTTCAAGTGTCATGGTACTGCACTACTCATAATATTTGAAACTTACTTTAGAGATATGGTTTTGTAATATTTTAGTTTTTCAAAGGCATCTGGCCTCTATTTAACCATCATATTTACATCTAGTTCCTGCAGGCATGGTTTTGTTGTTTAAGCTTGACTTGATGCCCTCTGCAAAAACCCTTTGCTTTAATGAACATACAGTAACTCCACTAAATGGCTAGAGTCCTCTGCTGCTCCTGAGTCCCACCACTGTACATCAGAACAAAAAATTTCAGCTTGAGCTTTAAAGATAAAATTAAGAAAATATATTGTTGGAGAATCACAGGGAGTGGGGGGACCCTGCTATGACACATTCAACTTATTGCCCTTAGATTATTTGCAGAACTGTTTATGTACTATGAAATGTTCAGCCAAAGCATACATAAAATATTTTATGAGATATAAACATGGTTGATGGTAGAATTTAAGTGCAACCTGGAAAGGGTCTATCTAAATTTCATTACAACAGATAAGAGAATACATTCTCTATAGTGACTTTTTTTTTTAACACAAAGGATTATAAATGAACTGAAAAGCAATACCTGATTCAGAAACTACATTTTAAAATTTCATAAAATTAAATTGTCATTTCTAGACAACTTGTTTTCTTTCAGACCAAGAATAATCAGTTGTATTTATTTGTCTTCTATATGGTTAAAGCATTAAGTGTGGGGTATTTTATTTAACAAGAATAATAATAAAGGAAGACTTCTCTCTAGATATAGGTACTATATACCATTTAAAAATATTTGCACTTTGGATGGTTTTCAGATAAAACCTTGGTACTGAAATTGGAACGTTTTTTAATCTCAGCTATTACAATATGTGAAGGCAACAAGATTAACGACATAACCTCTCAATAGCACATTCTAAAAGTTACTTCCAAATTTAGGTGAAGGCAGAAATGTTTCTATTTCCTTCACCTCTAGTCTAAGAAGCAATATCATTTTCCAAAGAGAAGTTATTTCTTGGTTTATTTTCAGATTTCTTCTCTAAATTATAAGGGACAAAACACAGAAACCAGTTTTGTGTATTCACACCTGATTTTAGAGTTGCGCCTGATGTGCAGAAGAACACAGGCCATTTAATATAGTCCCTCAGAAGATGATTTCATTAGGTATAATTTATGCTTTATCAGGTGTCCATAATTAGTCACTTTTTTTTTTTTACATTAGTGTATGGGATGAATGTGCTATAAAACTCCAGCATACCTTGGATTCATATGAATCTGGTGAAGTGCAGGAGACTGAAATCGAGACACCATGGATTCTTGAGAATTTGGAGAGTTGGGGAAAGTCAGTTTTCCTCTTTAGGCTTTGTTTTATTTTCATCTGTGAAATGAATGATTGCTCTCAATGATCTCTAAGATCATCTTCCATCTAAGATTCTATATAATATTTTAATCTTGGGAATTTATTGAAGTCACATTTTCTGAAACCTTCCTTCTGTAAATTTTATTTTTACATGTATTGCTTAGTGAAATTTAATTTCACTTCAGATTTAGTCTTGTGGGAAGGGTAAGAGAAAGAACCTAAGTGTAGAAAAGAAAAAAAAATTGAGCAATTATGGGACATCTAGGCTGGTTCAGGACAGACAAATGACCTTTTTAAATTTTAATTTCAGCCCTCTGGCTTATGATGAAAAGTGAAAGGTTATTATATGAACTTACTGGGCAAAACCAGGTTTTATAAATAATTACCTGTCAGACTGTTCAGGATAGACAAACATACACCAGACCAGCAAAAACACAGACCTGTCATATTTCTGAGAAATGTACATTGAATCTTCCTTCTTGGGGACTATAAGGAGATCAGGTAGAATAAAATGAAGGGGAAAAAAACTAAACCTTGTATTCTTTGCCCTTTGCATACTTTAAAATATATGTGAGAGAGAATTTCACTGTGAAAAATTACCCCTGAAAATTTTATATGTCCTGTAAGCCTGGCAGATCAAAACCAAATGCAATGTATGCTGCTGTTTTAAAAGTTGGGATGTTTACTGCAGGCTTACTATTTTTGTGATTAGGGATGCCGAGGAAAATGATGATAAAAAAATTTAATCATCCACTTTAGCAAGCACAGACGGCTATCAAAATTCTTTGGCTGTTTTTTGCTATTATTTACAGTGGACCTTTAACTTACAAACTCAATTCACTCCTGATGGGCTTCTTGTAACTCAAATTGGCCAACTGCCTTCAAGGTCTCTCTCCCGTATAATTTTAGGCCACACTTTTCCAGGCAGGTATCAGTATCCTTAGAAAGGCACTGCACCAGGATTTCTCAGCCCTACACAGGAAAGGATGTTGTAATGTTCCTTCCAGAACTCTTTAAGGGTTAAAGAGACCATGTATCTGAGACCATCTGGAAGCACAAGTGGCTGGCATTGGGCCTGGTCGTAACTCAAGACTTTGGTCGTAGAATTCTGGTCATAATCCAAGTTCACATGTCAGGCTGGTTTTAACTTGAGTGTCCATTATCTATATTTTTTTGTTTATGACATGCAGATTTTTTTTCTTTCTCACAGAAGCTTCAATGTAGAAGAGGTAAACTGACAGTTTAACAAATTTAAGTGGATAACATCACACAGTCCTTTTGACTCTGAATAATTTGGTCACAAGAAAACGTTCATGCTTTTCTCATTTCAGTTTTTTTGAATTCTTTATAAAGGGTTTTTTGGTGCAAAAACCATGATAAAAATTAAATTATATTAAAACTCCCAAAGAATTAAATAACTCCCTTCTTTGAAATTCATGTTTAATTAGGAACTGTACAATGATACCTGCTGTATTTTAGTTTGTTCCCAGGAGTTATAATTTCTCATTTGCTAGAGAGAGGATAGATGCCAGAGAGAGTACAGCTGCTCCCATCAAGTGCTTCCAGAACTGGGGGGCTGGCTGCTGAAGGGACAGGAGAGGGCAAATCCCTCTTCCCCCTCTGAATTATGACTGCTGCTGAAGGGTGTGGAATGAGTTGGAAGGTGGGTCCGGGGAAAAGCAGGGAGTGAAGATGGAGAAAGGAGTCTTATGTGAGGAAGAACACATGATTGGCAGGAAGTTAGGAAAAAGGCATGCGAGGGACACTACATTTAAGTGGGATGATGGGAAGAAGAGCAAGGACTGGCAGTTCATGAGGTTAGTTAGATCTTTAATTAGTCGACGTTTATAAAATAAATATGTCTGCATTTATTTTAGGGACAACTAGTCAAGTGTTAGGGAAGTAAAATTGGTGAGACAATACAGTGGGAGAAGACTGTCCTTTTAATTTTGTCTCCTTTATCCTGAAGCTGGATTATAAAATGTATCAAAACGCCAGACTAAACACTGAAAGGGGGGGCTACTTTTAAGCTATGTGAGCTGAGGGAAGCAAATCCATGCCAAGTTAAGACTTCAAAAATCCTGTGATCTGCATTCTTGTCCACCTACACACTGTCCCAAACATCCTACCATTAATTAGCTAAATGGCCCATCTAGTAAACAATTACTAAATACCTAGGGGGCTGGAAAAGAGCAAGAGTCACAAAATCTGCAAGCTCCTTCGGATGTGAAGAAGGTGAACTTTTATCTTGTACAGGATGGGAGAAAGAAATCACCTCAGTATAACATTGCCTTTCCTGTTGTTGCAGACACAGTCACATTAGCAGGCTAGAAAAGCCATCCCATTCCTGCGGTAGGCACTCTGTCAAAGAAGAAGAAATCTGCAGTGAATTATCACATCAAGTCAAACAAGAACAGGAGGCAAAAAGCAAACTGAGCTTTCTTCTTCATTTGTAGGCTGCTGGCTACAACCTAATAAGAGTCCTTAATATGAATAGTTCTGGTGGGAAAGTTAGAGCAACCATTCTATTAAAAGTCAGTGTGGTTGACAAGTGGTTAGTGATTCTATTTTTGGGATGTGGGAGATAGGCAAAATAAGACATCCAGTCTTGTTAAGTGATTGCTTAAGCCAAAAAGAAGATGTGCTGAATCTGTTCTGCCTTTTGTAAACATATGTTCTTTATTCAGCATGCTCCAGAATCACTTTTAAATACCTAATAGTCTATAAATTACTGACTCATAGATTTCTCAGCCCTAATTTATAGTCTGAACAGACACAGAAGCCTTTCCTCTCTCCTAAAATATGATTTCAAAGGAATTCTGCACATTACAGACAGGGAAATTAAGCTGACTCATAATTTCATAAACATACATGTACATGTAGGCATACATATGGCCATGCATGTGGTCTAAACTTTCTCATAATTGATACTAACTGCAAAATTACAATATATCCCTGTTAAGAAAGCAGAAACTACCATGCTATTCATTGCAAGTGAGATTTGACATTTTAGAGCTAGAAGACCTGGGCAGCACAGGATTTCTTCTTACTGGTCCTGAATCTTACTTTGCTCTAAAATGGAACATAACTAAAATTCAATAGTTAGATATAGTTAAATAATAGTTAAAATTCCCCTTTCAGAGGTATACTTTGCATTATTTCAACTCATTACAGTCCATTTAGAGATCTGAGAACCCTCAATGAATTTTTTAAATAATCTGTCTTAAGGAAAATGGAGAAAATAATAATAAAATCTCATCAGGCCCCTCCCCCTTAATAGTAATTCTAAACTACTGCTGGATTTTTTGTACTTTCAGCTCAACAAATTTATTGTCAGTGGTCACTTTTATTTAAGAAATAGAGAGTAGAGGCAGACAGCTGAATTAGGTGGCCTGCACACAACTCTCCCATAGGGAAGAATTCTGGAAATAAGCAGAAAGTACCAGGAACTCTAAACAGCAGGGAGAGTCAGAAAGACAACCTAGAGAAAAGGACAAAGCAAGCTGTACATGTTTCTTATGGGGAAAAAGTAGGCAGCACAGTGCCAGCCTCATCAAAGTAACATACCAGCAGTTCTAAACACAGGAGAGTACGTGGTCCTCACAGGGCTTAAATCCATCTGGGGAGCTGGCTGATCTAAGAGTGATTGCTCTGCTCTAAAGTAGGAACTCACTTTGGACTTCTTCCAAGCCCTGGAACCTAAGCTGCTACAACTTGTACTGCCAGAAACTCTCCTGCCTTAGTGGTGGCCACTGGAAACCATTGGAAACTTCATGCTGGTGTGTTTTACTGGATGGAAGGCGCACCCCTTGGCTCAGGACCAGTGAATGCTATGGCCCCAAGCTGAAGTCTCACTGAAGGAACTAGTAAAGGTCTCTTTAGGCCATAACCTTGAGAATGTAGGTGCGTGTACAAAGTGCTGGTGCCATTCAGACCTGTTCACTGGGAAGGCCCTAACCATTTCCTGCAGCTTTAGGAATGTGACTACCAGTGGCTATAATACCTGGAACCACCTGTGAATCCTCTGTAACACACAGCCTTGGATTATAGCTGGTGGTAGAAAAAGCCCTGGAATCACCCAGGCTTGTTCCTGGGGAGCAGGGGAACATCTCTACCAGTGACACAGCCTTGGCTTCACTAACACTTATTCCACAAGACCTAGGGAAATTCCCATCCACATTCTATAGCTCCAAGACTGCACACACCAAAACCCAAGTCCCAGGGGCTTTCAGGTCCCAGCCTACCCAGTGGCTCCAAAACTGTAAGCACTGGTGTTACAGGCCCATCATATCCTCAATTCAACCTGTGACTTGGGATCTATAGCTGCTGGTATCAACTCTGCCAACTTGTGCTTGCTTTCAAGAACCTGGGGACAGTACTTGCCACATCCCATACTACTCACTTGGGCAGCTGTGACCCCCAAGTCCCAGTGCCATCAGAGCTTGACTCTGAAGTCTGATGATGCACACGTTTGGAAGCCTACCTTCACTGCAAAGTCACACAGGTACATTCCTGAACTGCTGCAGTATGCACTGTTGAGGCATTCATGAAGCACATTTTTAACTGCTACACCAGTTAAAAACATAGGAAATCACACTGAGAGTATGGTTTTGTGTTTCCTTGAAACCAAGCCCAGAGTACCTCTCCAAATGACATTTATATCCCTTTTAAAGGCAAAACCTTTTTCTTCAGAAGCTACTTCATAAAATTGGAAGAGGTGAATTTTACGCCAGATGTGCAGACATCAGGAGTAGGGGCCCAAAAAATATGAAAGGAAACATGACATCTCTAAAGGAAAATAATTCCCCAGGAACAAATCCAAATTTAAAGGAATTCTATGAAATGCCTGAACAGGGAATAAAAAATAGAGAAACTGAGTGAGATTAAACAAACAAAAATCAATGAATCGAAGAGTTGGTTTTTTGAAAGAATAAATAAAATCAATAAACCTTTAGCCAACCTTATCAAAAAAGGAACGAAAAGGCTCAAATTCATGCAATTAGGAATTAAAAAAATCCAAAGGACCATCAATACCTACTTTGAAAACCTGTACTCTAATAAAATGGAAAATACAGAAGAAATGGACAGATTCCTAGATATATATGAATTACCAAAGTTGAACAAAGAAAAAGTCTAAACACTCCAATTACATTCATTGAAATTGAAAATGTAATTAAAACATTACCAACAAAGAAAAGCCCAGGTCTTGATGGCTTCACTGCTGAATTCTATAAGACATTTAGAGAAGTATCATCACTACTTTTTAAACTCTTCAATAAATTGAAAGGGAGACAGTACTTCCAAATTCATTCCTGGAAGCAAGTATTACTTTGATTCCAAAACCAGGGAAAGACCAACCAAAAAAAGAACTACAGGCCAATCTTCCTAATGAACACAGATGCAAAAATCCTCAATAAGATACTGGCAAACAGAATATAGAAGATCATCAAGAAGATTGTACACCCTGACAAAGTCAAATTTATCTCAGGGATGCAAGGATGGCTCAACATACATAAATCAATAAATGTAATACACTGTATCAACAGAGTCAAGGACAAAAACCATATGATCATCTCAACAGATGCAGAAAAAGAATTCGATAAAATTTAACTGTTCATGATAAAAAACCCTACAGAAAGTTGGAATAGATGGTCTTTATCTCATACTGATAAAGGGTATCTATGAAAAACCAACAGCCAATGTCATTCTAAATGGTCAAAAATTGAAAACCTTCATGCTAAAATCAGGAACAAGACAAAGGTGTCCACTATCTCTTGTTCAATATATTTCTAGAAACATTAAAGCAGTTAGATGAGAAAGAAGATAAACTGTCACTATTTGCTGATGATATGATACTCTACATAGAAGACCCAAAGTCTGCCAAAAGACTTCTAGACTTAATTGAAAGATTCACTAGAGTAGCTGGATACAAAGTCAACCTCAAAAATCAATAGCCTTCTTGTACACAAATAACAGACTCACTGAGAAATTGGGGGAAACAATGCCTTTCACAATAACATTAAAAAAATGAAATATCTAGGAATCAATCTAATGAAGGAGACAAAAGACCTCTACAATGAAAATTACAGCACTCTGAAAAAAGAGAAGACACAAGAAGATGGAAAGAAAGATGGATGCACCTGGGTAGGAAGACCCAACATAGTGTAAATGGCCATACTTCCAAAACAGCTATACAGATTCAATGCAATCCAGATTGAAATCCCTACAGTATATTTCACAGAACTTGAGAAAACAATCCAAAAATTCATTTGGAACCAGAAGAGACCTAGAATAGCAAAAACCATTCTAGTTAACAGACATGGCAGGGGGTATCACATTTCAACTTGAAACTATACTACAAAGCTACTGTGATTAAAAAGCAGCATGCTACTGGCAAAGAAACAGACCTGAGGATCAATGGAATAGATTAGAAGATGCAGAAACAACACCAGACATACTCAGCTACCTCATCCTTGACAAAGGAGCCAACCATCCTCACTGGAGGAAAGACTGCCTTTAATAAACGGTGCTGGAAAAACTGGCTTTCAACTTGCCCAAGGTTAAAATTAGATCCCATGCATTAAACTAAAATCCAAGTGGATTAAAGATCTAAATATCAAAACAGAAACAACTTGAAGACACTGGCATAGTAGAAGACTTTATGAACAAATCCTCAGCCACACGAAGACTTGCACAAATAATCAACAACTGGGATCTCATTGAACTAAAAAGTTTTTGCAGTGCAAGAGAAATTACCAACAGAGCTAAGAGACAACCTGTAACGTGAGAAAAAAATTTTACCAGCTGCTCCTCAGACACAGGACTACCATCTAGAATATATAAAAGAACTAAAAAAAAAAAAAAAAAAAAATCAACCCCCTCCAAATACAAAGACCTGATTCAAAAATGGGTATCTGAAATGAACAGGCATTTCTCAAAGAAGTAAAATCAACAAATAAACATGTGAAAAAATGTTCAACATCACTGGTCACTTGAGAGATACAGATGAAAACAACACTGAGATTCTACCTTATTCCAGAAAGAATGGCTGCTTTCAAGAAATCAACCAATAACAAATGCTGGTGTGGCTGTGGGGAGAAAGGAACCCTTCTCCATTGTTGGTGGGAGTGTAGACAGGTGCAACCACTGTGGAAATCAATATGGAGATACCTCAAAGAAGTAGGATTAGATGTTACATTTGACCCACCCATCCTTCTGCTGGGTATCTTCACAAAAGAATTAAAAGAATCATATCACAGTGATATATGTGCACCCAGGTTTGTAGTGGCACAGTTTGTAATAGCTAAAACTTGGAAACAACCCACATGCCCATCAACTGCAGACTGAATAAAGAAGATGTA